TTACGGATTTATGCCATCACACAAACCTAGCGAAAAAAAAAAATCCGATGGGAAGACCATGTTACTCCTTTGCTAGCAGCCGAAAAGTGGTATTCGCAAGAAAGTAAACAACCACCTGGACAGTCTTTGAAGTTGTGGATCACACCAAGCAGGCGGTGGGTTCTAACCGAAAGTATACAGCATAGGTAGGGAGCATCTCAGTGATATTAACGTAAAGCCCTAACGTCAATTCTCTGCACTGTCTCGTTATTCTTTGAGTTACATTCTGCAAAAAATAGCGATTCCATTCCGAATTTCCTTAAAACTCTCACTTTCTGCTAACTGCGAAGCTTCCGCGTGTTACTTGGATGTCCCTATCATTTTCTTCCAAAGCTCGGTACCTGAAACTCTAAATTCCTAGAGAAACCCAGAAAATCACGAATTCGCTATGATTTTAGAAATCTTCATTAGAACTATCTAATTTAAGTGCAAATTTGAGTATGGCACTAAATTTGGGCGCGATTTTCTAACTTCGAGTGCGCTTAAATGGATATCTGAAGGAAAATTTTGGTGATAGAGTAGGTGTAATTCCCCAACGTTACACTTAACATTTCAGTATTTACATCTTACAAGTTGTAAAGCTGGAGAGCCGGCTAATCAAACAGCTGTGAGTTTCGGTGATGGACACAATGATCGGCAAAGCCATGCTGTGACCGCTGATATTTTATAGCACTGTACTGCGAGAACCTAAGAACAAAATACAATCGACCTGATCATGCGGGGATTGGTAACGGGACAACTCCTGTTCCCGCCAAAACGATGATTTGCACCTATTTAACGCAGAAAACGCATACTGACGAGGAGCTGTTTGTGTAAGTGTGTGTTCATTTGTGCCAATTTTTCATCTCGAGACTTACAAAAGCTACAGGGCTGAAACTTCGGAAACTTAATCCACATGCATGTACGGGCTCCAATCCCCAAAATGAGTGCTTTTACCAGTGTGGTACCCACGTACGGGCTCGCCAAAGTTTTTGACGGGCAAGCTGCCAACTTGGAGGCGAGAAAAGCTAGAAAGCTGAAATTTCTAGGAAAGTTTCCCGCCCACGTAGATCTTAATGAGTTCAAACCCAGCTCCGGGGTATGCGTAGTTACCAAGTACTTGCAAGTGAAAGTTTTTTGCGGGTAAGTTACTAACTCGGGAACCAGAAGAGCTAGAAAGCTGAGATTTTAAGAGGATATTTCCGGTCCACGTAGAACTAAATGACTTCAAGCTCTGTTCCCAGTTACGTGTGGCTCCCACGATCAAGCCAGTGAAAGTTTTTGGCGGGTAAGTTGCTAAATCAGAGACTAGAAAAGCTAGAAAGCTAAAATTACAGGAGGTATTTCCTGATAGTCCTGGTGGCCGGTCTCGGTTCGCTTAGCCAGAAGCATCTGCTGGAAAAACTGGTGCCGTTAAAAACAGAAACCCGCGGAGAACTATGCAAAAAACGCATCTTCGCACTGGCAGTCGGTGCGCTGGGCAAATATTCCCCTCTCCACCCTTCACTTTCGCATTACATTTTTACAGCAGTAACTTATCTGAAAAACACATTTCAAGAAATGAACACCACTTACGTCTGTGACACAGCGGAGTTCAAAAACTCGTCTAAAAATCGCATCTCCTCAGTGAACATGAATGCAGGGCCGAACTGCCCTGATGTACGATAACGCTGCACCAAACTTTTCCATCGATCTCTTGATTTTGTTACCGAAACTAAACAAAGACGCTCTAAGAAAACAGCAGAATCATCGTAGCTCAATGGATAATTCACTAATCAGTTATTTTCGACATTTGCTTCATCTCTCCATTACTTTCTCTCCCTCTCGCCTAATCCCTCCTTCCTCTATCAGCCAGTCAAAGATAACATAGCGATTCCGATAATACAAATTTAGTTCCTGCCTCGAAGAAAATCATAGGCGGATCCAGGACGGATTCGTGGAAGTGGAAATGGGGAGGGGAAGGGAGAAGACGGAGAGGAGGGTCCCCTCCTACCCTGGAGCAATGCAAAAACTAGGAATAAAGTTGTAACACAGCTAATTAGAGTTACTTTATTCTTTAGTTCACTTTAGTTTTAGCTTTATTCTCCGGTTTTTGCAGCAGAAGCGCCCATCTGGATCCGCCTATCAGGAAGATAGCAATTTAAATTCCACATGTTTAGACAAAAAAAGGGTAAGAAAGAGAAGCAAATGATTACAGCGAAGGCGACCAACTACGTTATAAAGCCGAATCACACAGTATCCATGAGTAAAATCAGTAAACAATTAGCGTCGTGCATCAAGGCTGCCGTTGTGATTATACATTTTTGCCCAACTCCATAGAAATAAATCTACGCATTTCTATTGAAAATGTTCTTGTTGATCGGGAAAGGGAGCCACTGACTGCGAAGGTAGTGTTGCACTGTGACATCTTGCGAAGTTCCGGCTTTCAAACATGTATTTTTGTGTTTTTGCGTATATGCAAGTTGCAAAAACGCATACTGGGAAAAGGCTGTCCGTGTGTTCGCACTTTTTGTCATCCACTTTCAACTCGAGAACCAGAAAAGTTAGAAGGCTGAAACTTTGGGATAGGTGCCCATACCATGCGCGACCCTCTCGTTTTAATTTCATCCCTCGCGGACGCCTGGGTGCCGCGTACGGGCGCTTTAAAAAAATATACAAATTTGCATATATGCTAAAAAAGGCTGGAAATTTAAGGGGATGTTCCTCGTCAACGTGCAATTTAAACATTTCAAATTCAGCTTTCCAGCCATGTGGAGCATCCACGCACGGGTATGTGAGGCTTTTGGCGGGAAAATTGCTAACTCAATAACCAGAAAAGCTGGGAAGCTGAAATTTTTTGGGAATGTTCCCTGTCCAGGTACAACTTAAGTATTTCAAATCTAACCTTGAGATATGCGTGGCTCTTATGTAGATGCACTTAACAGTCGTGGCGGAAAAATTTCTCACTGAATAAATAGATTACCTTTAAAGAACGACTCTTAAACGAAAATTCTACATTTACTTTGCAAAATTTATGGTCATTTATGCTAGTGACTGCAAAAGGTAGATGTGAAGCAACAGCCATTCATGCAGTTAATGACCTGAGTACTTCAAGTCCGGTGCAAAAACGCATGATCG